TCCCATCCCCAATACATCTGCCCCTGCAACACTTCCTCCTCCCATTCCTACACCCTCCTAAAATTCAGCCTCCTCCTGGAAAAACATTCCAAAACTAATCACCGTGCCGTAAATCAGCACACCGCCAATAATACTCATGACCATGGCTGGCACAGTAATAATATGACTATGCGCCAACACCGCCGGAAGAGCTACACCCATCATACACAAGAAGCCCGTTGCGAAACGACCGAGATCGAGAACTCCAGAAGAGGAAGAATCGGAGAAGTCATCGGGAGAAGAACAGCGGGATGCGAGAAAATTGGGGAGAGGAGCGAGAATGAATGTGAGAACGACGAGGAGGGGAAGGTATTGGTGAAAGAGCGCGCAAGAGAGGATTACGAGAAGGAATCCGAGAGCGAGGACCTAGGGGGGATATTAGAGACTGAGAGGATGGGGCATATAATGAGGGAGAGAGATCGTACGAAAGAGAGGGAAATTATTGTTTTAAGGCCGGCGGTCATATTGAATAAGCTGGGAATGGCACGTTGGATGAGTTGCGATTGAGGTTGCGATTGAGGTTGATAGTTATCGGTCGCTTGCTTGCGTTATCGGTGTAGCTCAGTAACTATCGTATTACACACAATTGTACTATGCGATTGTCTTGTGTGTGTTTTTTGTTCTCGATAGACGGCTTGAATGAACGGGTAGATGTGAGAATTGTTGGTGGAAGATAGAATTGCGAATTGCTCAAGCTTGTTGTTAGTAAGAGATTCAAAGTATCAATCACCAACCGCCTTGGAGCTGACGTTTCGGAAGCACGCGCTTAAATGATAGCTTCATAGCCTTGTTGATCCACCCACTAAAGCAGCACTAACTCTTATCCTTTGCGCAGAACAATAACCCTCAAAGTCTTGCCATTTTAAGCTTCTAGCTACCTATTCTAAATCATACCTAACAACAGTTCGAGCTTGCCTCATCATCGTGTCTGCCTCATACAAAAGCGTCCAGTTCCTCCATTCTGCAATTTACACTTCCCAACCACTACATCCAAAGTTTTTGACGCATATTTGAAGATACCCGTGTTTTTATCTCTGCGTCTGAGTGGTTTCAACTTGCTTTTTATTCAAGATGTTCAGAAACAATTATGATAACGATTCTGTTACCTTGTAAGTCGACTACTTCTTGGTGGCATGGAAATGGAAATTGAAACTGATGAGATTGCAATTATAGCTCCCCACAAGGTCGAATCTTCCAAGTCGAATACGCTTCAGAGGCTGTGAAGCAGGGTAGTGTTGTTGTGGGAATAGTTAGCAAGACTCATGCTGTTCTTGTGGCTTTAAAGGTTAGTAGTTGTGGACTATTTACTTTCTGCTACGACTACAAACAGCAGAGTACATGATACAGCACAATTTACTATCTTCTGCTTCGCCCCCATTCTATAGTACGGAATCAAGACTAACACATTCTTTCCCAAACAGAGAAACGCAGAAGAACTCTCCTCCTACCAAAAAAAAGTAATCGCAATCGATGAGCACGTCGGACTGGCCCTCGCCGGTCTTGCCTCCGACGCCCGCGTCCTCTCCAACTTCATGAAAAACCAAACTCTCGCCTCGCGTTTAACATATGACCGAGCTATCCCCATCGAACGACTCGTCGCTTCAATCGGTGACCGCGCTCAAACTAATACTCAACATTACGGAAAGCGTCCATATGGTGTTGGTCTTCTCGTAGCTGGTGTTGATGAAACCGGACCTCATCTATTCGAGTTCCAACCATCGGGCATGACGCAGGAAATGAATGCTTGTGCGATTGGTGCGAGGAGTCAAATGGCCAGAACTTATTTGGAGAGACATTTGGAGGAGTTTCCTGACTGTGGAAGAGAGGAATTGGTTAAGCATGGTTTAAGAGCACTTAAGGAATCTCTAGCTCAAGACAAGGAGTTGACGGTCGAGAACACAAGTGTGGGAGTTGTAGGAATTAAAGCAGAAGGGGCTAAGAGCATTGAAGGTTTCAAGCTATTCGATGGTCAGGATGTAAAGCAATGGGTAGATTTGGCAGCGGATAGTGCAGAAGGCGCAGAAGGTACCGAAGCTGCGGAGGGTGGTGATTCGATGGAGGTAGATGCATAAATGAAGGTTGAACAATTTGGATGGCACTATGGATCATGACTTTAGCTAATAGAAATGAGCTCTGAACGCAGTGTTCTTGTTGTCTGCAAGTGATTCGAATTTCAAACTCAAATGGCACAATTAAAGGTAGGTACAGTGCGAGGATGTCGGAATGCTAACCGTATGGCTATCCCAATCTGAACTTTTGGACGCATTTTGGAATATCCATAAAAATGTCTGATTTTTTTTTGAACACAGAGACGATTGCTTCAGATATCGGTTCTAAATGTATGGAATATTTTCCATGCATGTAATCTCACATGAGATCCGAAATGAAGAATGAGATTGAGATTGTAATTTCGGTGATTCTCTTGGATGTTCCGAGTGTATACAATGCTTACAAGGTGCAGGTTGGAAGATTTACTTAAGGGGGGGGGGGGGGGGGGGGGGGGGGGGGGGGGGGGGGGGGGGGGGGGGGGGGGGGGGGGGGGTGGGGGGGGGGGGGGGGGGGGGGGGGAATATAGGAGGTGAGATCACCTAATTACCTCTGAAAATATCGTACATTTCTATCTGTAGGCTAAGTTGGGTGGGTGTTGAAGTTATCTTGGGAGTGGGAAGAGGAGGGGAGGGAGAAGGAGAAGGAGATGGGGATCTGTTATAGGTTCAGGTGGAGAGCGAAGCATTGGTAAGCTGGGGGTCTGTTGTGAAGTGAATATCTTCTAATAATCCTTGATATTCGATATGAATCTTCGCCTACATAATAACTTAGTTCGTGAACTTCACTCCATTATATCCATAGTTTCGTTATTGTATTAAGATTTTGAATGGCTAATTTGATCTATGACATGTAACTATTGATTGGAAACAGGAAACTGATACTTTGATATTCTGTATGCTATAGTCCATGCTAACAATGCATTGCCAAAATCTAAAATGCTAAGGGGTATGTTACCTTCCGTCTCCTTTGTTGGGCTTGTACTCCTTATTTTCAACATACTCAGCGCTTGGTGTGCTTTCTGTGGAAGAAAGTTGAGATTTACGTCCGTGGTGACGGAGATGTAAATCCAATTTGTCTTTCCCGCTCTGAACACTCGCCTGTCCAAAATGTAAAGACAAGACTAACGCATCTGCAGTTGAAACATCTCCCTACTGTATCAGGCATCTCTATCCCTCGAGAAATAGGACACCTGTCTACTCATTACCCCACTCCAATTTAAATCTTCCTTCCGTCAACTTGTAGTCCCTCAATGCCTGGATCGTCTCTTCTGCCGTCTTGCAATCAACCACGATATTCTTATTAGCCTCTCCCACGAAGCCAGCCTCTACAGAATTTTTCACCCATGCCATTAATCCATCCCAATACCCATCCACGTTAAGTACGACAATACCTCTCGTATGAATACCCAACTGATTCCAGGTCACCACTTCCATCAATTCCTCCAGGGTACCATACCCACCTGGCAACGCAACGAAGCCCGAACCTGGACCCCCAGCAATAACCTCCTTAGCCATCATTGATTTCCGCGCATGCATATCCTTTACCACAGTAGTTCTCCCATAAATCTCATATTCAGGAAGTCCGTCTCCGTTTTCGGGTGTCCCGGTTCCGTTTTCCTTGCTGTGAATACTCGCCGCGTCGCTGTTGGGCCCGCGCTCATATTTCACCAATGGAGCGGGTATGATGCCGTGCACGGAAGTGGGACCTGAGAGTGCAACGAGGGTTCGAGCTACTTCACCCATGAGTCCAACGGTGCCGCCACCGTAGACGAGTGATATGTTCTGCGCAGCCATGTGTTGGGCGAGAGAACGCGCCATGGCCATGTGAGAGGGAGAGAGGCCCGGGGAAGAGCCGCAGAAGACGCATATTTTCGTGGGGGGTGGAGAGGTAGAGGAGGAGTTGGTTGTTTGGGCTAAGGGAGAAGAAATCGATGGGTTGGTTGATTCGCGGAGGGAGGGGACGGGGGAAGCGGCTGAGAGAGGAGAGGCGCCACCGGATGCCATTTTGTTTTATTGAGATGAAAGTAAAAAGTGTGGATGATAGTGATGTTGTTTGTGAAGTTGGAATTAAAAGAATATCTTGTGTATTGAAAGTCTTGTTTGTTGTTGTATCTTGTATACTGTCTGTTGGATTCGAGGTCTGATCAAGTATGTTACGTACTTTAAGTACCCAAGAGAATTAGTGGTAAGAGTGGATGTATCTGCAGGTACGAGTTGTCTGGTGACGATCACAAGAGAGAAGGAAACCTGTAAGAAAAGGAAACGTGGTTTGAATTTGGAGAAAGGAGTGTGTTGATTTCTTGGTACGGAATTGACTGAATCACCGTGAATTATCTCTGATCCCATATGTGATTGGGAAGAGCCCTGGAGAGGTACGAAATAGTACGAGGGCGTGTTTTTGATGATTGCCGCTTTCCATAAGCGAGAACATCAATCTTCGAAAAATAACAACCTCATATATAAATCTATATATCATCATGTTATTCCCCTAAGAAATTTTATTATATAAATCTCATAATCTAAATTAAAATGAGGCTATTCCCAGAATATTATTCAACCATGAAAGTTGTTATCTCCATGGTTTTCAATAATAAGTTCACATACTTTTATAGTATGTAGAACAGCATTATCAATAACTTCTTGAGGTATATTAGACCATTCTTTTTCCCAAGCTTTATGCATCTCTTCTGTATTTAAGGGATAAGTGCCTGTATCTCGTCGTTTTCGAATCTGTATACGTATATACCTCCACATATGCTCTATAGCATTCATATCAGGAGATTGAGGTGGCCAGTCGAAGCTTATGATATTGGACTTTTTCATGAACTCCTTGATATAAGAAGCTTTATGTGCTGGTGCATTATCCAATATCAGTATGGTATTCATACCATTGCTCTCATTAAGCTCTTGTATCTATGGTTCAAGCTTAGGTTCTAAAAACCCTTTAAAAAAGCGATACCAGTCAACCCCTCCTTTGTCGCGGTTCCCCCTTTTATATGCAACACTCTTCTTATATGTCGTACTACTAGCAATAGGCCCAGGCTTCTTCTTCCCTCGTAGATCGTACTCTCTTTCTTCCTGTCGTTGACTGCCTGCAAAGGCTAATGTATGCAATGGATCGTACTCTTGATTCAGTCGTTCCAACTCCTCTTTAGCCTCCTTCTTCTCTTCCTCTGTTTCAGTTGCATATATGGTGCATGGTCCAGGACGCTTTCCTAGGCATATACCCCCAAAGAACTGACCACAGCCATATTGTAGATTCGAAGTAGAAGCTTGTTTCACATCTTTATGTTCGTATTCTTCTGGGGTACACCACATTCTATGGGTATCTTCTTCGAAGTTGCGTATTGTAGCCGCATCAATAAATATGACTCTCTCAGGGGTTTTCCTTAGTATTTCTCGTAAATCTGTAGCTCCTACAACCCTTTTTTTCCGATGTCCTGCATTCAATTGTGGCTTTTTCGTAGGTATAGTATGGGAAAGACGATTCGCGTACATGACCTTCCAAAAGGTCGAAACGTGAATCTTTTTCTTATGCGTTTTATTCCAATTCGAAGTATGTTGATCTGCAGATAGCATTCTACTACTTCGAGTTGCCTTAACCATAGAAACTAGCATTTGTTGTTCGCGTGGTCCCAAAAGAGGTTGCTGTCCTCGAGTACGTCTATTTTCAACATTCGATATATCAGCCAATGGAGGTCGTCTAGCTCCGCCACGCGTACCATTCGATTCGTCTCGATCTCGCGCACGCTGTCGTATATATCTTATAGTTCTTTCCGAAAATTTATGATCCCAATATGCTGCTTCCTCTTGAGCAGTAGTAACTCCAGCCGTACGTACGATTGCCTGCCTAACTCCATCAGGCACCTCTTTTCGATTAGTTTTGGGTATTCGCGGGTGTACCCCTTTACTTCGTCGACCTTTATGAGGCATAATTTAATGATTTATATAGAATGGTTGAATTTTAATTGAATTTAAAAGATCTAAAAGCTGAGAACGCGTTCTTGATACCGCGCGGTTTTGGGTCGCGCACGGGCCCGGCAATCATCAAAAACACGCCCTCGTAATGTTAAGATAATTGTTGGGTGTGATACACTCCACCCCGCAGTCTGTGGGGTTGTTAGCGCGGTATGATTGGTGTGTGGATGATCACAAGGGGTCGAAGCTGAAGGGCGGTTATGTCATTGTGCTTATGTAATCGTAACCTCTCACTGCATGCAAATTTCCCTACGCAATCGCTTCCCGGTGAGCTACTGGGTAATTGATCATTTGATGGACTCGGGTATGAAATTATTCAGAAGATGTTCAGACGACATCAACATCATCGATATTGATGAGTTGGTACAATGGAATTATAAGGATCAAGAATCTGGTCATTGACAATTCCTCGGTTCACAGCATGATCCTCATGGTGAATTCGAACTTGTTGATCTCACAAGTGTGTTACCCAGCAATCACTCGTTGAAGCACCACATCTCAATCTCCAGCGAGGATCAATTTTATGAACTATCTGCCAAACAATCGTTTCGAGTAAGGTTGCAGTCAGATGTTTTGTTCGTATGATCATCAGATTTGGAGTTGTTGTTGTTTTCTGTAGTGTATTCGCTGCTATGTTTTGCCTAGTATCCATCCACCTATTCTCTATCAATGACAAAAGATCGAAAAATCAGCCCATACCCTCGCCTCCTCTTCCTAAACGCATACTCAAACCAGCATCTTCGTCCTGTCAATGCAGACATCACACTTGCTTCCCCTTATCCCTTTCACAAATCAATATGTGGAAATCTTAGACTCAACCCTCTTTATTGCTTTAGTCCGGGTGCTAGAGCTTGGCTAGTGAGGGGAGTAGCCCGGATTTGGGGAGTCATATCGGTACCTATCTGGGCTGTCTTAGAAACGATTTCCTAACTTTGTTGAGTCGGGGAAGGAGGGAGAGATGACGCATTCGAACTACAGATGGGAAAGAATTTGGAGAGGACGGAGAGGGAGTTGTTGCATCATGGATTGGCGCTTCAACCAAGGATCGAAGGGAGGTTTGCCATGAGATGAAAGAGTTGGAGTAAGTAGATCTGTGTTTATAGGTTTCGCATAAGTGATTCTACTAGACTTGGCATTTATTTGCGGAATATTAAAATAGTAGAATAGTAAAAGTAGTCGATCTAGAATTTAGTGCCAAGAATGCATGTTGATATTAAGAAATGTCAGAAATCTATCCCAATCACAAAATTTTGAACTAGAATCACAGAACTTGAACTTTAGATTGCCAACTCGTATTCTTGCCTAGTCTGTTCATTGAGGCTAAAAATCATACAATATAGTAAAGGGTCCGCAAACGATGAGAAGTCAAAGACCTCAGATCAGAACGATCTAATAACTATTTGAGAAAACATGAACATCTTGATTCCTTTCAGTATCGTGCTCTTTTGCTTCCCTGGATTATGAATCTTAATTTGAATGTTCAATTTTGTCTTTACTCCTCTCAACAGTAACAATTACTTACATCTAATAGCAAGCTTCAATGAGCCGCTATGGTCTTGTTCCTCAGGAGAAGAGGGACATGAGAAGGAAGAGGGAGGAGGTAAACTTCAATAAGGAATTTTTTTCTCGAAAAGGGAATGGTAGGGTTGAATCTCATCCTACTTTCCGATTTCTAAGGGCGAGTGTGAATAAGCCTCTCTCATATTGTGTTCTAGGACAGGAGAGAGAGCGAGAGAGCGAAAGATTTATGTTTGGAAAACAAATATAAATAATTTAGGTCTGAACGTAATTTGGGGCCTCACTCTTTGAATGGTCTTTTAATCGATCAAAAACTTCTGATAATAGGTATCGAGTAGCAAATTTGGAGAAATATGGTCATTCCTACACCCTCTATACTCCTATCTCATATATGAAACACTCTCTTCCTACTACTCAAATCAAGCGCTACTGATGAGTCTCCCGCCCCAGTCCCATGGAGAAAAGTGGAGAAAGTCAGAATACTGCATCTGTGAGAAATCTTCATAGACTTTTTCAAAATGATATCAAACAAACATTCTAGAATTAATTCTACAGAACCCTCCAAAATTCAAAAAAATTCATCTCACCAGGTATCTCAAATACAAGGGCATAGAACCAAAAAAAAGTGCCATCTACCTCGTTTTGAGCATCTTGTCTATCCATTAAGCCAGAACGACGCCCAAAACGAGATAGGCGAAAGACATGAAGAAGTTCTAGACTATATCTCGGATTAACCTTCCTGCTAGTGGTTTGGTCAAGTGAGTTTTCCTGAGTTGTAACAATTTATTGGTGAACATGGGGAAAGATCTCTTAGACAAAATTAGATTGTTGTCTGCTCTATGTATTAGATTAGGGAGCAAATTCATAGATCTGTAGTAGTTGTCTAATTTCAGCATGTGCTTTGGATAAGAAAGTAAGGAGCTGAACAGGTTTTCTGTGGTGGAAAGGTAACAAAAGACCTGATCATCAACCATATATGATTAAGAAGGTGTTATGATAATCTGGGATGGTAATGAATAGCAAATGATCATTGGTAAAACAATAATATCAACCTTTGCTCCAGAACAAAGATCCAGCCTATGGTTTATTGACAAAAGTTCATATCTCTTTAGACTTAATGATAGTAATATCATGAAGGGGCAGGTTACATACCCATAGATTCAACTAAAATAAGTTCCAATACAGTTCACTCTTGTAAACAACTGTCCACTTCCATTTCTCTCACACCAAAAGCTTTCCATCTGAGCAATTCCCATGTTGCTGCCTCGAGGCACCCATCATGTCGCCGACTAAGCAGAACCTCAAATCTGACTGGATATAGTAATTAGGGCAACTTTTACCCTTGGACCTGATTTCTTTCTCCCACAATCTCTTTAATCCCTTTTAAAGCACCAACCTTTCAAACAATCCAAAGCTTCCACTCCATCAACATCAACACCAACTCCAACTCCAACAACAAATTCAACCCCATACAAACATTTACAATTGCTCCGTTGCCTTCGCATCCCATAATGCCTCAATTTTTTACTGACTTGCTGTGCATTGGCATGGTTGTAGGCCTATTTGTAAGTTTTCCAATACTTTCTCTTTGCCTCCAAAGATCGGGAAGAAGCAGCCTTCGTACTTTATGGAGGCTGCCACTGTTCGTTCAGTATTTGACAGTGTCCAATAAGTGATACGTACTAACAAATGGGGTAGATCTTAGTAGTTTTAGTTGTATGCCCTCGACTGGTAATCGTGTTCTTTGCGCAAATAGTGAGAGAAATAACGAGAAATCGTTTGCGATTTTAGGAGAGAAGTAATTGTTGAGAATATGTAAGTCTTATTCATGAATCTCCCTTTTACTTTCTGAGAAGTTTGTGAGACCCAGCAACACTTAATGCTCTCCAATAATTTAAAATATTTCTTGTGCCTAACGAGGAGATTTTAGATTGCCGTTCGCACCACCGGGAAGCGCATCAAAAGCCAAGACAAGAGATATGCATCCACTGCACCTTGCAGTTCGATGGGTAAGTAATGTTTCTTCAACCCAAAACAAAGACGCAGCAATATACTAACACATTTCGTAGCGCAGAGAGATAAATAACCAACGCACCCACAACAAAACCTCTTTGCATCGGCTGCCGCAGAGGACTCAACCTATTTCACTCGACAGGCAAAAACCGACGCGGCCCATCGACGTCAAAAGATGCGCTGCCGTGTGATCAATCGGATGGTCTCGAACAATCGTGGCTCCTTCCTGGAATATCTTCCGTGGTATGACATTGTCCTTAGTCATTCCTGATTGAAAGCTAACATCATTGCAGTTATACCGAAAGAGCGAGAAGGGATTCATTGTGCATGAAGACGTATTTCATACTATCATTCATCCAAAACCTATCACCCCTATCCTGGGCCCTTCAGGACTCTCTTCTAAATCCTCCTTTCAAATTCAATTCCAAATTCCAAATTCAAAGATATCGATGATCAAATGCGAGATGATTTGAAAGAAACAATTTATCCAGAACTACGCTACCCCATCCAACGGGCGACTGGCAGACCGAAAACCAGTAAATCAAGCGCAAGATTCAACCCCTTCAGTGATTCGCATCGTTGCATAAAGTTTAAAACAAAGCTTCATGCTCATCTTGAGCATTAGGAAGTTTGCCGACGCCCATTAGGCAGCGCAGCATTATAGCTTGCATTTCAAGAATCCCTGACTTGGTTACGAGATGCTCTTTCTAGAACATAGATGCCGAGTGCCACAATAAGCTACGGCATGGATTGCCAACTAGTCCATCGAATAGTCCTACCTCACCATCTTACTCGCCAACCTCTCCAAATTATATTCCATCTAGTCCAAAATATGCTGAATGGACTATAACTTGGCGTTCTCAAGTAAGACACTCTGGCTATGGAAATCTCGCAAGAGGTCAAATTGGAGCAAGCACTTTGAAGGGAAGATCGAGCACTTCACTCTTCCACTCCAACCTCCATCTCGGCAAGCATAAAAGCCTCGAAAAGAGTACCTGCGCCAACTACTTCTTTACGCAAAGGGGTTCCAAACCTTCCAAGCCGCCAAATGACAATTGATCATTAAATCCTGCGGAGATTATTAAATCCCGGGTTCCAATTTCCTATTAAACACGGCACAGTTTCACCACAATAATAGAAGAATTTATGGGAGCAGACATGAGAATGAACCAACAAGCTTTGAACCGACGGGGTTTGCAATCCTTTTCGTTGCCCCGGCACGTCAGCCCGTTGAATATCAACGGTATACGAGGCCAACACTGCATACATGCAAATTTGCAGATCCTGAGGGACCCAGCAATTCACAGGCCATGCTGAACTCCATCCGAATACTCTGATATTGCTTCCGCCGCCCGATCCCCTAATCTGGACCACCAAGATATCTTCGAAGCGATAAGCCAACAGCACCCATCGGTGCAACACCATCAAGACTCAAGACTCTGGAAAGTAATGTCTATCTGCCCATCCTCTGCGACACAGTCCAGAAAACCTGCAACAACAAGGCATGGTGCCTTTGTGGGTGGGAAGTTCCAGGCACTCACAATAACACAGGAGGAATGAGCGAAGCCCCTGAAGCAGGCCCAAGCAAACGGGGCTTCAACATATCCTCATTCTGCGGGTGCTTGGAACTTCCTGAACCGGTACGTACTGCCTACAAGAATGCGATTCTCAAGATGAGTCCGGTGACACCCACCAATTACTCGTTCGATGGATATAACATGATTTTCAATGCGAGTCTTACCACACCTACAAGCTACTCAGCTGGTGACCATCATGGTTCAGAAACTCTTATTCACTTCTCTCTCTATCTCTTTGAGTAGCAAAAGTTGTCATCGTAATGATGAGAGTACTCGGACTGCACCAATTGAATCTTTGCGTAACAATTTGGTCGCTTTAAATTCATCAAGAAAATGCTCTTATACACCCATAAGAACAACATGATAGGGATTCTCTTCCTCGATGAATTTTCGCCTTTCTTCCCCTTGGCTTGGTATTTGCCTTCCGAACCACGCCTTGATGATTTCAAACTTGAGGGCAGTCTGTGTGGATTTTTTGGACAGAGACGAGGTCAATCCAAATGATGGTGGAGAACCAGATGACTTCTATCAAGATTATCAACCCTCTCAACAGACAAACGGCGCGAGACCAAATCATAAAAACCGCTGCACGGAATAATCAAACTGCATTCTTGGAGATGGACCGACTTGATCGATCTTTCCAGCACCTGGGCCATTCATCTTACCATTTCTTGGTATCCTGACACCAAGCTCAACAGGATAAGCCCAAGCTGCAGGATTTCACTCCTGTTCAGAAATTGTTATTTCTCCGGCTTTCAGCTGGTATTCTAGCAACTCTTCTCGGCAATGCAAAAATACCTCTCCTGAAGATGAGCGAAACCTGCCAGGTTATCCTCAGCCGGGCCTGAACTCGTACACAGTTGAAGAGAGTCCCCGATATCGCTATGTAGCAAGGAAAGATGGTGGAGAGTCAGCCACTCAAAGCAAAGGCGGATTTCATTTTCATTAGTCTTATTGCAGAACTTAGATAAAACGTCTGAGTAAATTTAAAGTCGATGTGGCAGTCTCTTCCAATTCCCATGCAAGTTCCGTCGCGAATCTTTATATGTTTGATTTGAAGCAAAGACATCCGTTTATGTCGAACAGTCTAAGCTTATGAAACCAGGACAACAAGGAAAGAACGCAACTAGACACTGTGATTACTTCGAATACTCGCTTTTTTGGTAAAAAAAAATTACAGACGTGAATCTCGCTTATGGCCATCGGTGTTTTACATAGCTCCTCTCCCTTGCGGTAATAGCCCTCTGGCTGATAATTTCGATGCCTACCACCATGAACTGAGATCGTCAGCAGCAAGAATTCAACAAACTCCACCTTTGTTTGAGAAATCGTGGGTGCTTTTGATATGGAGTTAGAATGCACTTGCTCCACTCCGACTGCACTAGCAGCTGCTTGCTCGGATTCTTTCAAGTCATCGTTGTCAGACCTCTGGTTTTCATAACCAATCGTTTCGCGAGTCGTTGCATTATCTCTCGTGCGTCGGTCCTCCTTCTCTTATCCTTCCAGTATTTGCAGCGAAAAGACAGAGAGAGGAGCGATCTAGAACCAAGGGACCCTATGTCACGTCTTGAGTGGAGGGAATGCAGATGTACAGGTCATCGAGCTTTTGGGCCTTCTTGTGATTCATCTTTCTTACCTAGAATGATGATGGATTGTTTTCATACTTTAAAATTCCAAGCCGAATTGCGCTGTAAGTGGAAATGGAGCCAGAAAAAAAATTGTTGTGAAAAGCAGCTGACCATTGTAGATCTAATTATTTTGAAGGAAGACAAATTGCGATTTATTGGGAATCATTATACATGGAAGCAAAAGCTACCGCCGTTGGTCTCGAGAACTCCTTTCATGTACATCACTAACGCCTCTCCAACCCCCCATTTTTACGTGACTTTATCCATAAGCACTTAAAGGATCAGAAGAATCTCCACCAGATGAAGATGATCATGAAGAGTCCCAGCCCGCCAATTGGTCCATATTGTTTCAACATCAGTTCCCAATTGATTCTTACGGCAGCTTTGCGATATTTCTTGCTGTCTTCTCTCAATCTGCTGCTCACTTCACCCATACGCTCCAGGTTGTCTCCTCTGTAAAGCAAGTCTTCAATGTTCTTGGTCATGACCTTGGTGACATCTCGAAGTTCATCGTTAAGCTTGTCAAGATTCTGTGTTGCTCGTGTATCGGAATATGTGGATTTTGTCCGCGAAATGAACGTGTCGAAATCCATGAAGGCATATGGGCGTAAAGTTGGAGAGTGTACCTGAGTGGCGGGGTAGGTGGTGTTGAATTCGGTGCAAAGATCAGAGAGGTATGTGAATGCAAGCTTTCGTGGGTATGAGCGTTCGCAGATGCAGAGGAAAACGATGTCGTTGGCGATCATATAGCTGAAATATTGTCAGAAAGGTATGCATGATATATCCACTATGAATTCTAGCTGCTAATGGATCACAGGCAATAGAATGGCAGATAGCAACTCTGTCTCTGCAGAACATAGCATCGAGAATTTCCATTTCGAGTTCAGACTGGCAATAAGATCCCTCATTGCCCAAAGCCAAAATCAAGAGATATGTTCAAGAGTTTCGTGGCGGGAACAATTGTTCGTGTCTCACATGCGCATTTTATTTAGAAGAAAATTGAGATCTGCGCTTGCTAATTCTCGCTTTGCCATTCCATTTTGTGAGACCGTATGTGCTTCCTAAAAGAAGTCTCATGGCTCTAGGCTTTGCTGCATCTCACAGTGAGGGCTACAGAAGCAACGAGAGACAGGATTCATCCAAATGGACCAAAGGATATTATGTTCTTGTACGCACTGCATAGTATATGGACCGCTATCGAGCGTTGCTTGATCGGCGGAATTTCGATTCATTTTTCGGAGAACCATCTTGACTTGCGACTTGATCTCTGCCAGGGAAGTCTCAGTCTGGAAAGTACCCAAGTCAGCTTCGCAACCCCCAACTTAGAACAGCATGCGCACCTGCTCGTCGTCAACTGAGGCGCATAACATAAGGCCTGTAGTGCGAGGTTAGCCAGATTCCAACAGTATAATCAACAGTCGCCATACCATCCAGCCTCGCAATTTGCGTGGATCTGATCATCTTGTTTGGTCGTAGCTGGAGCTCCTTAAGGTACGTTTATCGAACTTATTAGGTGTTATTTTATGATTATGATATTAATACATGTGTCGCAGACCTTGTGCAGATTTCAATCTGGTAGTAGAAATATCAGAGAAAAGAAATCTCAAGAAAAAGTACAGATCAAGAAACCTGTTATTCAAAGACGTGGAAGTGTTTAAAAGGAACTGATTACTTCAATGGATTCAAAAGCTGTCCCAATTTCCATCATCCATGTCCAGAACCCTGAGTCGGATTAACTCTCTCCGAACACCGACATGACACCTTCCCCCTTATAGCACCTATAGCACGAGGCTACCAATGACGCACTAAGTGAGGAGGAGGCTACAACAGATATTTATTATATTCTCAAAAGAATATTTTGGTGAGTTCTTGTTTGTTCTCTTCAACTTTCAATTTCACAACAGTCTTTTTCAGGTCGGAAATCTTTCAGTCAAAAGAGTCACTCGTTTCAGAAAGGAAAACCCTCTGTTCTCTAACTCTATTCTCTCTATTTCTGAAAAGAGAGGATTATACTTCATTGTCTGCTTGACCAATTCTGCGACTTTGCGTTTCTTTTCAGTTTTCTCCACCATAACCTCTACTTCCAAACCATTTTTACTACCATTATTCTGATGGCTTTACCTAGTGCGCCTCCTGTTCCGGAGACGGCAGCTCCACCGAGCTCGCCTGTTCTAGGCCCCGCGGATTCTGGAATTAATCCCCAGACCGCGGTGGCAGCGACATCGATCCCGGTGTCAGAAGCTTCGTCCTCGGCTTATAACGAGGCGATTGGGTTGCTCGACCCAATCGCCCCGTATCAAACAGCAGCAAGATCAGTCAGTACACTCATATAATCACGTGTTCAATATTTAGATAACGAGCTAATATTCAATCTTAGGAGAGGAACCTGGCTCCTACCAGGGAGATGAACCAATTGCCTGCAGAAAGACCGCTCAGTGATCATTTCATGATCTCATCCTGCTCGGATAGAGCCTACGTCCCAACGCCATTCAACACCCCTCGCACTGCATCCGGAAGAGAGTCTCACCCTCATCTTGCACAAGATTCCTCCCCTAGAGGAGAAGAAAAGCCGACTATCAGAAGAGTAGCACCTCGTATCCTTAGTGGTGATTTAGGCGAAAAGGAGAAGGTCTATCTTCGCGGAGGGGGTCCAAAGAAGAGGCGTGGTGGTGCTGCTGGTAATGCTCGCAAGAAGCCAAAGCCTGACAAGTACGCGGATGTTGACCACTTGTTGTCGGACTTCAAATCACCCATCTTCCAAGAAGATGCGAATATCAAGGTAATGAATAATTTTAGATTCTTTTTACCATATCTTACTAACTGTTACCAGGCGGTTCTTACTCATCCATTGACAAAACAAACGATGGCTGAGCAGGGTGAACCATACCCTTTCGATGGAATGACTGGAGATGAGATTGCAACCACTGCCGCAGACTTCAAGTCAGATGGTAGTTACGGAAGATTTGACCCAGACTGGATCGAACAAGCTATCAAAGCATCTCAAACCCGCGCATCTGGTGGATATGATGCTTATCTAGACAGTCAGTTCGCAGAAAATTGGGCTGAAGACGAAGAGCAAATCTCAGATGAAGAAACGAAAGATCTCAATGATAATGGCGAAGATGGCGGCAACGGCGAGACAAAGCCTGAGAAAGAAGAAGAAAAGAATTAACCGATGATTAGCACCTGCTCGGCGATGTTGTAATTCTTTCGATCCTTCCACCTATTATAAAAGCTCGCAGGCATTCAACAATACCAACGACTAGAGTACGTCAAAGATATCACTGGCTTTGTCGTAATATTTCCTTACACCTAATGTTGAACCTCTTCGAAGTAGCAAACTCCCTCACAACACGACCCTTTACAACAATCATCCGAAACCTTGGCTTCTCTACTACATTCGATCTTTTTACAGCCAAGCCAGACTTTGCGCAAATTTGAGGCGCCCTCATTTCAGTTTAACTTTTCTTATTCTCAGATCAACAAATTTCATTGCGCACGCGGCGTTCAGTATGTCAGATTAGATACCCACTTGTATTTCTTGATTTCGTCGGACAGCTTCTCAAAAAGATACCTTCGGAGTTTGATTTGAGGCTGGTTCTGGGGCTAATTTGGCTTTTTTATAAAAAGTTTCAATTCTAAGTTTACGCATGTGGTGTTTGGAATCTACAGGGGATTTATGTGGCAGTTTGTAAGAAGAAGCTTCAGCTATGAATCGACTCGATGTCATACTCGAATCTCTGATAAAAAGTCAGATATTTACAACCAAGGGGAGGAATGCACGAGCCTAGCATACCTGTCTACAACTGAGAATCCTAATTAGTTGGTTCGACTTCCCGTTGTTATGTGTGGTATTTAGAAGGGGGGGGGGTCGTAGATTAGGCTTCTTCTAGTTCCACTGTTAATTTACAAATTGATTCATTTTCGTCTCGATATACCCTCTCTCGTATGATGAATATTTATTGATCAAGGTTCGATTTTGTTCCCATTGATGTAGTATTCGTAAATTTGATGATATTGTGTTTTTGAAAAATGTTTTTGTTATGAAAATACATCGCATTTGATTGTTCCTGATCAGTTCTTGGAAGATGAATCAGAAAATTGCAACGGTCAAAGACAAATTTCAACTGAGTTCTTTTCCGAAACAGTTCTCCTTTCGCCGTGGCCAAGGCCCGGATGGCTCTCCTATCAAACAGACCCATACCCAGTAACCAACCAAGTTCCAAACCTACTCATTCCTGTCAATGAAGCACTACTTACCGCTTGTCATACCAAAGAGCCCCCAAAGAGAAATAACCCCAGCACTAAGCGTTCTAAAAGCAACACTCCCCGGAACCCCATGCTTCCAACAAACATACCCATCCACAAAGGCCAAGTATCCCAAAGACGCAATCACAACATCCATGGCTTCGAAATGATCACCCAAATACAAACCCCATAGTGCTAGACCAACGGCAGTAACGCGGGCCGAGCCAGATACCATCACGGGATGAGCGGGTTTAGAAAGAGCTATTTTCTCGTTGAAGCCAAATGTTCGGATGGCGTTTTCGGCGTTCCAGAGAGGCATGGTGCCGCCTATGGTTATTGTTGTGGCGAGGAAAAGGGGAGGAATGTGGCGGAGGATGAAGTGCTCAAACATTTTGATTTGAACATTTGGTTTGGTGGGTTTGTCGGCTTTGCGTGGTGAGATGAGATAGCTAACTCGGAGGGAGCAGTTGCTTGGTTTGTTGGAGATCACTTATGGAGAGAATGAGATTCGGATGATCTTGTGTATTCGGAATTGCGCCCAGGACTTTATATCGAAAAGAGATTCACGTAAAAAGAAGTAAGATTGTTGTATTTCCAGATGCAAGAAAGTGGCGTAAGCGCTTTTGTGAATCACTTGATAGACATGCGCAGCTCACATTTCATAGGAGTCGCTACCCCGCCGAGCCCACATTCATTCAAACGTCTAATGGTGGGAATTTGACTGAACCACCTATATTATACACAAATTTTGGAAATTTGACAGTGCAGGTGTATTTGATAAGAATCTGAACTTGAATATATGCCATGATAGATTTAAGGTTCGGATAACTCTTCGCGACAGGCACGTCAATATGAAGATTATCACATCGTCTCTAGGCTCTTGATTATCAAAGGTGGGCCCTGACTCGCTTGGCTAGTATGAATTTTGCTGCATACCCGTTTTGTTTCAAGCAGATCCCATGCGGAGAAGGTTTAAGGGTCTAGAGTACAAAGACTTATCTCGCTTTTGCATAACTGTACATCGATCATGTTTTGTGATCCAAATGTCTCGGAATGATTTGAAAATTGCTCCAAGATCATAGAGAACCAAGCACGGTGCAGTAACCTTATTTAATGATCAGCCACATTATGCGACGAGTGGCGATTCCTGCAATCTTGAGGTTACCGGTATGGTGAAAACTACCAAATTGTCAAGTCTCTTCACTCAAATCATACGGAGCTGTTATCATTAGGAGCGCGTTGTTTTTTTGTTGCGCCCCGGCGCTTCTTCCTCTATCATAGCAACGCTCATCTGAGCCATGCTAGTCTAGACTCAAGCTCGGTTGAGCGAGATATATACCTCGGAACACCCGGGGAAGTTTCCCCGCGTTCTGGACAAGGGTTCGGCAGATCAGCGCATATAGCTCAACTACCTGCCTCCTTTTTCCTTACTTCAAAAGTTAGAACGTTCGAAATTACTGTGAGTTTTTTGATTTGCTCTAGATAATCCTTTTCAACCATTTCACTACTAGAGATTTCAAAGAGCCAGCCAATCAAGAAGCCTAACTATCATCATGTCTAAGAATAATTACAAAGACATCATTGTCACCATCCAAAACAAGATAGGAATCATCAAAGTAAGATATGAACATTGAGCATGTAGTATAAGAATTCGCTGATGTATGATTAGTTCAATCGTCCTCAAGCCCTCAATTCTTTGGGAGGAAGTCTAGTACCAGAAACTATTGCTGCTCTGCGAGAACTAAATGAACACTCCGATACTGTATTTACAGTTTTAACAGGAGAAGGGAGATTTTTCTGTGCCGGTGCAGATGTCAGACGTGGGTTTGGGAGAAAGTCTAATGTCTACAACGTGCTGACACGTGAAATATAGAAGATGGTTCATTATCTGGCAAGAAGGAATATGCCAGTGCTGCGGAAAAGAAAATCACATACCTCTCTAAATTTACCTTATGTAAGCGCCTTTTTACTCCCAGATCTAATAAGTAGAGACCTAATGATTTAGCTCTCGAACTCATGCGCTCAATAATCGACCACACTAAAGTTTTCATTCTCGCTCTAAATGGGCCGGCAGTAGGTGCTGGAGCAGCATGGTTTCCAGGAGTAGCTGATATTGTTCTCGCATCTACGTCAACCTACCTTCAAATCCCATTCTCGGCACTTGGTCTAATTCCAGAATGTGGCTCGGCTATTTCACTAACTCAATCCATGGGTGTTCATCGTGCCAATGAGTTCTTGATGTTTGGAGGAAAACTTACTGCAGATGATATATTATCATTTGGTATTGCCAATCGGATTTTTGAGACAGAAGGGTTTGGAGAGAAAGTGATTGAGTATCTGGAGGAAATTTTGAAAACTAATGATGGAAAGAGTATGATGGAGGCGAAGAGACTGCAGAACTTGCCATTGAGAGATTCAAGAATATTGGCTGTGTATAATTCGATTGATGCCTTGGCCGAAAGATTCGTTGATGGAGCGCCGTTTGAAAGATTTGAAGCTAAGAGGAAGGAAATGGAGGGTAAGTTTTCGAGTAACCTTTTTCATAGTAACATATGGCTAATCGGATTTGCAGCAAAATCCAGAAGTCGAGCATCAAAAATCTAGATTGGGGAGTACGAATGATGTATTGTTCCTAGAGAGGGGCATAAGCAATAGAGAGGGTCTGAAGTAGCCCATATTACAGCAAAGTAATGATTACTCTCGTTACCTGCTGTTTATTGATCCTATTTGATGAATTGATTCTGCTTTCCTTTACAGTTTGGAAGTTGTGAAAGAACGATTCACGCGTATCCACCGTATTGTCAACTTTTATCCGGAATAAGCAATCGAATCACGGAAAGTGCAGAGACATCTAGTTAAAAAGAGATAAAGAAACCGGTAGTCATTATTATTCACTAATAGCAGGTCCAGATATACGGCTAGCTATAAATCCGGAGTCTTTCGCAAGCCCACCAGCCCCACGTATCTCAAACTGACGGATATTCTGTCTTCCAATTCTACCTCTGTTCATTGAACAATACGCAAATAACACTCGAGTCAACACATCATGGCTAAAGGGTGTGTCGCATGCCAGAACCAAGGTGGAAAAGTCCTCTATTGTGGTCTGTGTCGTTCTCGGCAATACTGTGATATGTTTTCAAATTGTTAGAAGTCTCTTTGAAGGCTTGTATTGAGTCTCGTCATGTGAAAGATACGATTTATGTGGGAAATCTACACTAAATGAAAGATTCAATGTCAGTTGGAAACGCCTGTGGCTTTTTTGAAAAGCCAAATGCATTCCAAAAGCTTCGTGTACTAGATATTGTTCACAGGTACAGATTGTCAAACCAAGGACTTGCCAACTCACAAGGCAAAATGCAAGCGCGGAAACTATATTCTGAAGGTTGATCTCTGCCCTCGTCATATCACAAACCCTCGCATCAGCCGAACTCTCACGTGTCCTGCCATAGCGTCTTTCGCCGACCTGCATGATGCCCTCCAAGTTGCATTTGATTGGAAGAACTGCCATCTTTACAATTTCGACATTCTCGATCATAAAGAAATGATGGGCTCCGAACATAGGTTCGTTATGCAGCCGGTACTGTGCAGGATTACCAATCTGGACACGTCGGACAATGGCGGCTTCAGCACATACCCAACCGAGGATAGCAAACACACCAGGCTTCATCAAATTATGGATGGTGGACTCACCAGTGGTAGGACTATTCATTACATGTATGATTTTGAAGATGGCTCGGAACATGTCATCACCTGTGCTGGGCGAGCAGATGCAACTACCAACTTCGTGGTATTGGGTGGTGAAGGTCATGGATGTGCGGAAGACGTGGGAGGGTATGGCGGATGGCCCAACCTAATTACAGCTTATGAGTCTGATGAACCGACGAAGTACCAGAGATACTTGATGTATTGGTTCGAAAACACGGCTCATAACAAGGATCCGAGAGGTCTGCGGGGAGTTGCAAAGTACGCGTGGGACAAAGACGAAATCAGTGCAATCTTAGAGGCACTCGATAATTCCTACCTCCCTGCACATCCTACTTCAATACTTCTGGTATCCTTGGCTAAGGAGTCATGGTTTGATCTAATGTACGCTTCTGTACTTGCCCAACTTCGCTCTAAAGCCACGATTAGAGAAGTTACAGAAGGTATATCGGCAATGACATGTATCGGAGAACCACAGAATTTTGACGCCATCACCGTTACGAATGCGGCAATCATGGAATCCGAGTTTGTTGCTATCAATCAAAAGTTGGTTGAATATGCAAAAGCCGGTGGAGTTTTGATATTCGGATTTTCGATGCCAAGCCTTACCGAGCCATCAAAATTTGAGAAATTGATGGAAAGCTATGGCATAGATTGGAAGTTTGGTTATTGTACTGGGGAGACCTATAACATCAATAGAATGGCCGATCTTAACGAGAAGTACAGTTTGATGCCCTACAACATGAACGCTCTCTGTTTGAAGAACATTAGGCCTGAAGAGAGAGTCTATTCTGGCTCTCACCACGCTAAAAATCAAAGTCCCGCAATTTTCGCAAAGTATGGAAGAAGCGGGGGTCGAATTGGTTGGTTTAGCGATGTTAGTGGAGAGAGGAAACGACAACACTGCTTCTAGCAATGTGTGGACTTTGAGATTTCTCGATGTCCTGCTACTCCAAAGATCTAAAAACATCCATTCAAATCAAATTACAGACAGCTCTGTTGTTTTGCTCTTATAGCTAAGTTCGAAGTCTCATGACTTCGAATATGAACGGATAACTCCCCGAAAAGATCCTTTAAATCTCTTCGTATGTCTTATGGTGCCCATGTTGATTGCTTATGGTGACTGAAAACTAAAATCTTCCTTCGAGTTATTAGATTCAGATAGTGTTGTCTAACCCTCCAAAGATTAATTTGTATGCTAGATTGGTTGGTTAAGGGTAATCCAATCATCCTTCAAGTCACAACCCCCCAGATCCGCTCCAATCACACTTTGTTGGGAGGAGTAACATTTAATTAACTAAACAACGTGAATCGAAATTTCGACATTAAGATTAAACAAGGTACGCATCTTTCAGACAGACGTTCCTGTTCAACGTCTTGGGCAATCAAACCACTCTTTCACCAATACCCATCTAATTATCTCTCGACCTAATTATGAGGGAGCCCGGTAATGAACACGAATATTACAAGCTACAGTCTGTGACCTAAATTTTGTTCAGAAAACGCAACCTTACTGATGCTGTTAAGGATTCACCCTTCTTCCATTATCCATAGGAACAGTTGGAGGTGCTTCAGCAGAAGGAGTTGGCGTCCATTCGGGTTCCCTTACATAAACACTCGGCTGTAATTCTTTCGGAATAGGATCCTCGCGGCATACAAGTTGCAGCTTTGAATTTGCATAGCTTCTCGGAGTTTCTGCTACTGAATAATAGTTTGCATGAATATACGAGCGTAGAACGTAGGGCTGACCGGAGTTGTGAAATTTGCGCATACTGGTGCTAGATATGTACACATGCGGGGATTGTGCGGACGACGTATCAGGGGGAATGAGAGTCAATCGGCGAGACTTGAGGATTGGAGTCTAGGGGTGGCGTCTTTTCTCTCAGGCTTTTTAATACAGCGAAGTCAGAGGGAGTTCGATATAATGATGTATCAATAGTAGCAGGAACAAGGACAGTGCTATCAGCACGACCGAACTTGAAGGTATCGAAAACTTTCTCTAATGACGGGGGCTTTGATGGGTCCAGGACGGGAGTTGTATTAATAAAAAAAACTCGCGCAGAACACGATTAGCATTCCAGTTAATTGTTCATGATCCGAGAACCCACATAATCATTACCCTATGAACCATTGCTGTGCTTTGATTGGCAATTGCCGAATTGCTTATATCCAGCAACATAGACCTACCTACCTTATCGCTATATCGATCTTTGAGTAACTTCGGTCGAATAAATCAACCTTGATGAACTACTGTAGCGCTTGAGTCAACTAACAAATTTTCAAGTACTTGTAGCTTCAGCGATCGGATCAGTCGAGCAATTTTACCCCCAACTAGCATATGCATCACTAGGGTGACGTGACGGGAAACATGCGGCCTATATCATGAGGGCAGTCAAACTATTGCACATCTTGACTAAAGAGGAATAATCTATGAAAAATAGAGCTGTGAATATATAGATTTCTATTGGTATTATTCGGGACTAGCTCTCTTTGTCCCCAGATCCACATGAATCATGAATTCAATACGAGCGGTAGTTGAATTGGATGAGAACTTCAATAAAAGATATGAGAGCAAGAGAACAGACGATAACATGCTTCAGGTTTCCAAGGCCTACATGGCGATGATCAGTTATCGAATACCACGACTTGCCAGAGCTCGATCAAAAAGAAATTAGACATATGATTAGAACAAAAGGCCCAAGTCATCACCAATTCATAGAGATGTATGTTTTTCTAAGATTCCTCTTATGGGAAAGAGAAGTACAGACGCAAAAGGTGAGGTCTGTAAATGATCAAGCATGAACAACAAAGTGAAGGAAGGCAGTGGAGAAATTGAACTGATGATGAAAACATAGACGAGACACGGTATATGAGTCCAAGAAAAGAGATAAGATATGCAAAGGAAGAGGCAAAAAGAAAGGACCAGGATGCGGGGGACAATGTTTCAACCTTGTGAACTTCAAAATTACCAAGATAGAGGTACTCATAAAGCACGCTCTCCGTCTGATGTGAGACGTGCAGAGTGCTGCATGTCCAAGCTCAAGCATGAATGGAGTTTAGTCCCTTCGAATCTTGTCAACCGAAGAAGAGCTGATTGAATATCATAAAAGTTGTATGCTTTATTTTTGTATTTGTTATTATACACAGGGGTATTATTCGCAAGGTATGCCAAGGTATCGCGGATTTCGTACCCTTTCCCATAACTCCATGTAGACATGAAAATCTTTGATCCCATGGCATATAAAAATGCCGTGTCGCATCTCCTTTTCTGTAGTCGCTGCTCATCATGCAATCCTGCAAGAACCGTGTCTTGCATCATAAAATCTCAAAATGAGGTATTCGTAACGTTTCGGTGGTCTTCAACGGTCCGTGAACGGGAAAAATGGAATTAAAATCGCATGTCCCGTAATCATCTATAGCTGCGATTTCTATCATTTCCTCGCCCGGCATTCCAGTTATTGCCATTGCGGTTGTTGTTGTTGTTGCCAGCACGACCTCCTACAAGGTTGTCGCTGTAGAGTCCTTGGCTTCTAGCGTTGTTACGACTGCCCCCATCCCGGTCATCGGTATCCATGCGATCCTCAAATCCGTACGAGCCATCAATAATATCATCCCGAGAACTTCGCGAGCTATCATATCTTGAATCGTAGCTATCGGAACCTGCACTGCGTTCAACACGGCTAGCTCTTGGGCCTGTAGGAACACTTGATCGAGGAACAGAACGTTGGGTGGCAGGTTGAAGCGTTGGCGCAGGAGCTCCCGACTTATTGTAAACGTTCAATAAATTACCATCCGCCTATCATGGGCCTATTAGTAATGCTTCAAGGTGTTCTACTTTGAGTGAAAATACCTCTTGGTTGTTGAATGTATCAATGACATTGTCAGCTCCATCTTTTGTATCAAAAATAATCTCTGCGATAATTCTGGGGTAATCAGAGATAAGGCGGCAGCTTAGTGGAGGTCCACCAACTGGTGTCATTGCGGTCTCGATATCTTGTGCTGAAGTACCTCGCGCAAAGTTTTCTGCCATTACAATATATGGTCCTGCGAGTCCCTTGATAGACATACTCTTAGTCGCCTTCGACTTCCCAACGATATTATACTGAGCGTTCAAGTTCGGTGTTGATGCAGAGCCGTTGAAAGCTTTCGCAAGTCGATCATTGCGCGCACGCGTATTGATATTCTTAGGGCCACGAGGAGGATTTTGGGATGTTCTAGAACTGCCTGGGTTGTTAAGAGAGTGCAGATCATGAGTCCATTCCGCATCAACATTTCCGACAGTAGGTGTGGAATTTTGCCTTGGTGCAGGTTTGGATGTAGCCGGGCCGCGCTATTCGATTGTTAGATTCGTAGATCTGTAGACACCTGCCAGTAGCCTTCATACCTTTCCAACGCCCATTCTGCTTGCAAGTGAGGGACCAGCGCCTGGCTTGCGATTGTTGTTTGTCGCTCCTGGCGCACTCGCTCGACGATTCTTGCCCAGGAATTTATTTGCTAGAAGCTCATCCTTGCGACGCTCACGTCCTAATCTTATGTGAGTCACTGACAACATAGCAAACATACTGCATGTTCTGATCAAGGTTACCTACCTTTGTTAATGAATCCATTGAAATCGGGTAAGTCAGTTTTGGGTGCCATAGTGTTAAGTTGCAGCTACCGCTACCTGTTATCAGTATTATTAGAGTTGATAAATTCGCAGATTTCCTGAAGTCCTAATGCAACAATACTCAAAAAGGCGGATGAATATCTTCAAGATCGAATGATAATATTTGAGGTTAAAGACAGGAAATATGGTGAATGAGAAATAGGATGGCCGAGGATAAATAGAATCCTAAAGTTCAGGTCGCGAAAGTTTAACGTCGCATTTGGGGAGTACGCGAGTGACTTTGAAGCGGAAAATGCGGCCGCGTGATCAAGTGTACGGTTTGGCTTGAGTTAAAACGAACATCCCTTTATCTTTCTTCACTCCAAGACCTGATAAATAGATATATTTCGAATAGCTTCGTGTATAACTTGTATTGAAATCGATCTGAGTTTTCAAGGTTTGGATCGATTTCTAAACAAATGTACCATCAGGGCCGGACTTCAAGAATGGAAATCTTGCAACCTCGCGACCCCTTTTTCTAATCTAAGAGCAACGAGACTCATATTGATTGATTATGACATTACAACTCAGGTAGGTGCGAATGAACTCCAGATAAGTTGATTCCTTCACTCTTGCCATTTCCAATGGTACGATATGTGATATTGTCCATTCAAGTTTTCTTTTACTTCTGATTCTCTTCGATCAACAACCCAATCTTTACATGTTGATTTCTTTTGGATTTTTGGTTAATGAACTACAAACAAGTAAGAATGTTTTTTTCTCTTTTCTCCGTATCTTAGTCTAATATAGCCATCTCGCTATTCTTCCCGTGCTACTCATGATCTATATCTTCCCATTCTTGGATTTGTACCCCTAACTGATGAAGTGTAGGTAGATCCTGAAAGCGAGTTAAACAAACATGGGTTCCATATCATTTCAAACCCCTGAGAAGATGAACGATGAGAATATACCTCTACCTCAAGCTCCACATACGCCCAACTCACACAAGATATCAGATTTGGGACGGACATCTTCCCAAAAGAAAGCTCGACAAATTTTTGATAGTTTAAGAGGTTTGAAGTCACGCGGGAGACTCAACATTGATGTGGAAGATGTGGGAGGTTATTCTGCTGGTCCTTCTAGCCCCATTCGCTGCAAAAATCCAACATGGGACTTCTTGGGAACCATTCGTACAAAGAAATCTGGTGAATTTGGTACTCCTGAGAATGAAAGACCTCTCACCACAACTCCTCTCAAAGCAGAGCCGCAAATCAGTAAGTAACAATGATCTTAATCTCTCCGTCTTGAGCTAATATTGTGTTTGTAGACGAGGCATCGAAACTGCTTCCAAGAAGACGAAAGAGTCTCGTTGACATACTCGGATCAATCTCCAACAAGGTATCCCCTAGACGTAGTACAACCCTTCGTGAAAACACTCTCGGAGAAGAGAGATTACCAAGTTATTGTGAAGAGGACGTATTTGCCGAGAGGTTGGCAAAAGAGTTGATAGATTTGAAAGCGAATAATTCGAGTCCTCTGCAAACATCAGCATCTGATGGTCAATCAAGATTTCCTCAGGAACGATTAGGAGGAACTTATAATTTGGAAGAGAATCTCAATACCATAATCGAGAGTGGGTTTATCAATACGTCGCAATGATATTGCATGGAAGGAACATGTCTAACCAATACTCAAGATCTTCAAAAACTCCGACAGTCTGAAGATCTACCCAATGGTCGAGCAGAATACGACGCAGACAGTTGTGAGTTTTCCTACTTCTAGTATTTTAGAAGTATGTGTTTTGACACTTTGACTTTAGGGACGAGTCAAGCGCACACAATACAAAGTGTAGGATCTAATGAGCATTTGACAAGTCAATTTCCAACAACAGATATAGATGAAGACGAATCAAAAACGCCAGACTCATATCTTTGCTCGATGATTGAGTCTTTTGACGACTATAACAATGAATCATTTGCCGCCAAAGGGAAAGGTTTGATTGTCTCTCCGTCGCCCTCCCCTGACAAGTTACGCCCAACCAAACCCGTTGATTTTCTGAAGGATTCGAGCCCAGATGTGATTCCTGAGAGATCAGGCCCAAGGTGATTGTTTCTTACAGGTTACAAACCATAGCTAACATTTGTTCTAGCAATCAATTCATGGATACAATTTCGTCAATAGGTTGCCAAATTAATACACTGGCAATACCAGAGCAAAACTCCCACCAAGGGACACGGCCAATGATTACAATTCGGGAAGTGACATCTGATTCTAAATCTAACTCGGCATTCGAGGATCAGTTAGCTCCATCACCACCAACATGGCAAGCCGCAGCAAAATCTAGAAACGCAATGCTGGAAAGCAGAGCCAGAGTTCCTTATCAATTTGATAGACATTATGTTCAAAAAGTCGATGCTCCTTTTGTGAACTTGGTTGAAGAACGAAAGAGTCACTGTCAGAGATCACAGCCACCCCCTTCTAAGTCCGATGAATCAGATCACCAGAGAATTGCCCACAATATCAAGCAGACCGTAAATAAAATGACAAAGAACCTCCATCTTTCCTCTTCCTCGGAAGAGACAATAGAAGATTGGGACGAGAGAATCTCAGAGGAGACATCTGACAAGAACCTAGACAAAATCTCGGAGACCGTCGAACATTCTCATACAAAAACAATTGAGGAAGTCTCGGGCGTTAAAATGATACGCAAAAACATAAGTTCGTTCACGAGCAGGCAGTTTTTGGACGGCGTGATGTATGTCAGATATCCTCAAACAGAGGCCAAATGGCGCCACAAGCAATACTTCTCAACAGGAAGCCTTGCCATATCAGATATTCGCAAACGAAACAAAGGGGAATACTCGGATACAGTATCGTATTGCCCAGAAGAAATTTGCATTTACGTTCATCTATGGGGGAAGGTTCCCAAACCAGAGTCTGAGCTTAGTGTTCGCGTCAAATACCCGGAAACAAAGACTCGATGGGCTCGAACCAAATTTTATGACAATGGCGATCTTGCCATGGCTGATATGGACCAAGAGAATCGAGGTGAATTCTCAGACATTCGATACGATGCATCCGAACGCTGTTTTTATGTTTATGCATGGGGTGATATTGTTGAAGAACCGAAACGTGAGGTTCGCGTTAACTACTCAGAAATAAAAGCTGGATTGACACGAACACAGACCTACGGAAAAAATGATTTAGCATTGGTTGATCTGTGTGAACAAAGCCGTGGAAGTTTGTCAAAAGTCAGATACAATGCTTCGGACCGCAGGCCCCAATCTTTCACATTGGATGAAGCTATGGATGAACTCCACAGTTATCCCTTCGCAGGTTTTCTCAAATCAGAGACGGAGCGCGAATTTTGTGTTGGCTCTCCAGAATCGACTCAAACCCAAATTTCCGAACCCAAACCGGATATCTCACGAGTTGAAATCGACAAGAATTTCACGTTTCTTTACAGTGCTCCCGAACAAAGCTCACGTGTAGAAGCACAAATGGCAGGTATCGAGCCAATTTACAGAACCCGCGAGCCTGCATGGAGACCAACACTATCGCCTCTCGGTGATAGGGATGAGAGTGACCAAGATCTACCCGATTTCTCCGATTTGGAGAATGAGTTCCAACTAGTTACCATCAAATCTCCTGAAAGTTCTTCACTCAGTATAAAATCGCAAGAAGAAGCAGAGGAAGCAGCTGGTGAGGATATTTCAGGTAGCAATGATATGAGCCTCTGCGTGGAAGCTGGAACTCCTCGAAAGTCAGATCATGAATTTATTACTGAATTATTCATGGCAAACGATTCCGATAGACCGGCACCTCTTCTTAGAGGCTCTAAGCAGATTCTCGAGTATTTGGATAGCTTTGATGGTGTGAATCGCAGCAGCAATTCTGTGTACGCTGCCAATGATCTTCAGTCAAATCGCAAGACCGCAACAAAGATATGGGCTGAATCCGAAAATGCTGGAGAAATGTACGATTCTATTGAGCCAACTCCCGAAAGCGTTCAAGCTATGATAGACGAACTTTTCGCTCAAGCCACTCACCACGCAAAGCTTGACGACTCTTCGGATGATGGAGGTGCATCTTTCAAAATCGAAGTTGTTGAGGAAGAAACTAGAGAGAGCTCAAATTCATCTTTTAAAAAAGGGCACAAGCTCTCAAGGTTTCTTGATAATCAATATTGCGGAGTTTCAGGACCCAACGACGTTCCAAAGAATCAAGAAGAGATAGCTTCTGGAACAAAGGGTGCAAAAGAACACACTATTTTCAATTTTGGCAAGGATATGATACATCGCAGGGAGCGTTCAAATGCCATTTCTGGAGAAGGCCCTTCAGTGGCTATGCGGTCGAACAAATTGGATGAGAGTATATTCATTCTTCCTATCGATAACATTGATTTATACGAGGAAAATGCTGGTTGTGGTGATTCAAAATCACCCTGCCCTACAGAAATCAATGAGAATATAGCAGCCTTTTCTACTGACGCGGACTTGACAGTCGTGGTTCCTGAACCCATTGATACTGCGACTGTGACTAACCACGAAACGAACAACAATCTTTCCAGTCTTGATCTGGCCAAAGCAGATTCCGAGAACAAAGAAGAGACAGCCAATGTCAAGCCAGGTCTCTGGGCCGGCACCTGTACAAAAGAGCAGAATAAGTGCGATGCATCCGCATGCACTGCATCTTCTATATTCGGTAAACTAGGTCTTGAAACCGCGCTTGCACCAGCAGCATCAAAAATCGAGGAATTTGCAACATCTGACAACAAAAAAGACGAGTCAACAGAACCGAAAGGCAACGAAAACATAATTCAAACCCCCAGTCTTCGTGTAGAAACAGTGTCGCAAGCATTTATAGACAACGAGGTTCTTCCACAACTCAACACAAGAATTGAATCAAAGCGAGTCCCTACGTTAGTAAACATCTTTCACTCACGAGGAATGGCGTCCCCATCTTCAGCTCGGCCATTCTTAGATAAATGTTCCTCTCCTCTCCAGCCAATCTCAACTCCCAAACGAGTAGAGACATATACTCCAATTCAAATTCCGAGAATCGTTACGCCTTCGGGGAAGATTTATAGCCCTGCGCAACTGGAAGAGGACAAGAAAGTTTCGAATCCAATCCAGAGGGTTCAGACGCCGGGAAGTGGGCTGGAGAAGCAGTGTAAAGGTAGAGATTATTTTAGTGTGAACATGAGTGTGGATGATACGGATGATGTAGATTTGAGTGGTGATGAGACGGAGATTAGTGAGGGATTCGGCGAGAAGTTGGAGAGAATGAGGGTGAGTAAGTATTGCTTGATAAACGAAGAGGACAAAAGTACGAGTGAGAATGAAGTAAAGGTATGAATGGGTCGTGGTTTGATAAAGGGGTAGGAAGAGTGTACTGATTATGACGGGTATTGTTATTGGGTGGAGTATCGCTTGAAGATCAATGATGCCGGAGAAAGTTATTGATATTGATGGAGTGCGAGAAGAGAGGCATGTCGTCGCTAAAGTTGAAACACGTGGTAATATTTTTATATTGATTGTATTCAGTTCCGGGGAGGATAACACCAGACATTGAGTAATCAGATAATTCTCAGAATTTGTCATTGTAAGACTTAATCCATAATAAAAGACAAATTCAACTGAACAACGCATCGTCTTTGCTGCATTTCGCTTGTGAGGCAGATGAATTTTATTGGAAATCAATTATTATGGATGAGTTGCGGATGTATTGTATAGGTTGGGTATTTTTATAACATGAGAGCTGATAGTGTACAGTATATAACATATGGAGTTTATCTCAGCAACCATCTTGTGCATTAGGCAATGCTGTACGCCCCGGGAAACTACAATTAAAAACTAGCAGACGTCTCAGTAGTTGGCTTCCTGTTTGCAAACGACGCCGGAGCCCCAACATTCGACTTCCTTTTCGCAAAAGGTTGAACACGCGCCACATATCCCTGAGTAGCAGCAAATGGAGCCAAGCCCCCCTTGACTGCTTTCTTGAATTGCATTTTCGAAAATTCATGAGTGCGGCGATCGATAGGCTTTTGGAATTCAGGGGTCTGGTGATCGGTAGGCATTTGGGGTTCTTCATCATCTTCTTTGGGCTCGAGCTTGTACTTGAAGCGGCCTGGGTATTTTTTAGATCCGTCCTGCTGTTGTTTGGCACGTTCTTCGTAGGCCATGAGTTTATTGCGACGTTCGTATATTTCAGTGTACGTGTCGCGGGACACGAGGCCTTTATCCATGAGCGTGTCGTAAGCGCCTATTATGCGACGGATAAGAAAGAGGACTTGGTCTTTGAACTCTTGGTTTTGGAAGTGATCATCGGTGACGGTGGGGTTTCCGTAGGTGGCGAGAGCACGGAGGTTAAGGTATGAGGGACCTACGCGTTCGAGGGCGCGGGAGATTTGTTTGCCTTGTTCATATTTGGTAGGTCGGTTGCCGGAGGCTTTGCGGATGAGAGAGGAAGAGACGGCGACGTCCATGTAAGTTACTAGGGCTTTAATGTCTGGGACTGGGAGGTGCATCTGCATTATATCGAGGATTTTACCGGCGGTGGTGAAGACGTTGGGGTTAATTTTGTCCCGAGCGCAGGTACTCATGGCGAGTTGAAAAGTTTCGGGTTTCAAGGTTTCTTTGGGCATTGTTTGTAAAAGTTCCAGGACCTCTCGACTCGATCGGGAGACTCGGAGGATTCTCAGATATCTGTGGTAATTATCCGCATCAGGTACAACACCCAACTCTTTCGTGAAAAGTTGCCAATATTTTGTTGCAGCGTCCTTTTTAGATAATTTTAGTAATGCCTTCATTATCATAGATAATGTGTTTGGTCCTGGAGTAGCGTATACATGCGACTTGGGCAATGAAGCCACTGCAGTTCCGTAGCTAGAAAATATGTTTTCGAGATCTTTAGGAGGATCGATATCACCGCCTTCTATCTCGGCTAATCCCTTGTTGTCATCAGGTCTGGACTGCCCTTGTAGTCCCGGTTCAATCTTCTTTCGAGATTTTGTACCTCGCTGAGGTACTTGGCGTCGAACGTTCATTGTCTGCTGAACAAGGGACAAAACATCATCGTTGTCTTCTTCTGAACCCAGTAGTAATGTCCGGCCCATAGCACAGACAAGCTCTTCATCGACCATTATATCTCCTTTGCGCCAACGAGTATAGATATCCCCCCACATTCGATGCGCACTAGCTATCATTTTCTCTTTCATTTTTAAAAGGTCCTTTTCAGGCATGTCTCGCTGGCTAATAACCTTCATGCGAAATGCGTTCAGGATGGTCGTGAAAGTAAGGTTATCTGGTGCGCGATTCCCCTCAGCAGGCATTTGAGAAGCGATTCCTAATAAAGCCTCCTCTTCCCCTGCCCTCGAACAAAGCCTAAGTACTGCATTCATGTGAATAGTATTTGGTCGTAAACGGGAACCATCAGAGAGCATCGAGGTATAAATTGCTAATCCCTTCTCGAAGGCTGGTTTGGTATGAGGACTCTCGCTGCAGCCTTTGAAAATGATAGTGTAGGTTTGCGCGTCTGGAAATTGCGCTCGTTTTTTCATCTGTGATCATCTGGTCAACAAAAGCTTCATCATATATTACAGAAATAACAAACCTCATTGAATGTTTTAAGTGCCGGGTTCAACAGTCCCTTACTGAATTGCCATTCAATCAAATGATTCCAACTAACAACACACTCAACATTCTTGCTTGCAGATCGAACATAAAGTAATGCCTCCTCAAAATCGTCCTTCGAGAGAAGTTTCCGCACATAGTCGGCGAGCTGCAGTGGATCTTGCAGTTGTTTAAGCTTCCAAATAAATTTATTGTCAATTCGTGGATCAATAGCTGCCGGCTGTTTGTCTGCGGGCCTCTGTCCCCGCGAATCTAGCCATTCCTGTCGTTTGGCCGTCCTGCTCTTCGTTGGCTCGGAAGACTCTTCATCTTGTGAAATAGGCTGGTAGGTGTAACTATCAGAATCCGTCGCATTCGTGGCAAATGACCCATAAAGTTGTCTTTGGGGAATTATGAGTTGTGAGTTTGTACTATGAATCGTTGAATCTCCGATGAGTGCTTGTAGGCATCTCCTCGTACATGCTCGACATGTAAACATCTTTCAAGTCTAGATTTAAAAGATCAATTTCCCCTCCATTCTTTCATCATTGTGATACTTTTTTTGTGGTCGGGTTAATAATAATCCGTTTGACTTAGTCATCAAAATCCAATTAACTTTCGTGTCGATAATTTACAAGGGTTCGCGATTTCACAACGCGAAAAGTGGTAGGAGCGCGTCAGAATTCCCCTTCTCCAATTTCGCGTATCAATCATCCACTCTACAGTTCCAAAATATTGTACACAGACACATACATACACACATACCTACCTACCTACATACATGAGGGGGTTCCAATCCAATTTTTATAACTTTCTTTCAGAACACATTTGTACATTTCTCTTCTTTAAATGTTATAAACAATCGAAAACTACACCTTCCAACATCTATCCACACCATCCCTCTAATTCATAATGTCGAAAGCCGCTTCTGCGCGAGCAAAGTTCGCAGAACTTCGTGCTCTTCGAGAGTCTGGAAAGAAGCGTCTCGATACTTACGAAGTACATCAGGGAGAGGATCTATATGAAGAGGTTGACGAAGAAGGGTACAAGAAGGTCGTGAGAAATCGCTTAGATCAAGATGATTTCGTCATCGACGACAACGGCGAAGGTTACGCAGATGATGGCCGTGAGGATTGGGATCGAGATAATAGACGAGGCTACGGAACTGAAAGTGAAGAGGAGCTTCCTACGAGGAGCAAAAATGGAAAGGCTGGTAGGTTTTGGAGGCCCTTATTATGATTGCACTTCTGACAGTCTCATAGCAAAGAGGAAAAGAGAGGAAGAAAAGGCCAAAAAGGAAAATATGGACAAAGGCATTAGCAACTATTTCACCAAAGGGCCGGCAGCTGCTCAGCAAAAGCCAAAGGTAATTGCAAATAGTCTGATCTGTTTACGCATTGCTAATTGTGGCAGCCTGTTAAAACGAAGGCAGATGATGATTTCTTAGAGGGACTTTTAGGGCAGGTAGACACCAATGTTCCTCGGCCAAAAGCCCAGCCTTCGAGAATTAGTAGGACGCAGGAAAAGAGGAGGACGAGAGCTCTATCCCCATCGCTAAACGAATCTCGACATACGTCAAAAAGAACTAAGGTAGCGGATAGTCGGTCTGCCAATACTACGGCTGCGCCATCTAGCCCTCCTGTCTATATGGGCGACGACGATGATCTCATGGCGGGAATTGACGACGATGATATGCCCATTGATGAACCGCAGCCTTCATCTCCTGTGGCGAAAGCTGTCGAGAGAAGACTTCATATCAGTGTTAAGGAAGAGGAAGAGGATGAAGACATGATGGAGGTCGCTCAAGCAGATGGTATCACAGCTAGCAGCGTCAATATTTCCGGGACCAGGCCTCCGCCCAAGTTGAAGAAGGAGCTATATCCAACCCCCACAACTTCATCCCCACCTCGCGGCCCAATTGACGAAGTGGATGCATCGTCTTGGAACGATGTTACGCAACGATTGAATGTTATGAACAGTAGCCAATCTACGGAAACAACGTCCTTTGGAAAACTCGACTACAATGACGCAATTGAAGAAGATGGAAGCCTTCACATGTTTTGGACTGATTATACTGAGATGCACGGCAATCTGTGTCTTTTTGGCAAGGTCAAGAACAAGAAGACGGGCACTTTTGTTAGTTGTTTTGTAAAAGTCGACAACGTTTTGAGGAAGCTCTTCTTTCTTCCACGACAATACCGTCAACGTGACGGTCGGGACACAACTGACGAGGTGGAGATGAAGGATGTCTACGAAGAGGTTGATAGCATGATGACCAAAATGAAAGTTGGGATGCACAAGATCAAACCTTGCACTAGGAAATACGCCTTCGAACTGCCTGAAATACCGAAGGAAGGCGAATATCTGAAGTTACTGTATCCCTACTCAAGTAAGTGTAAAATCTACCATCTAGCTACTCGACTGACCACTCTAGACCATGCATTAAATGCAGACCAGCTAACCGGCTCGACTTTCTCTCATGTTTTTGGAGCAAATACTCCACTCTTTGAACAATTCGTTCTATGGAAGAACATTATGGGTCCGTGTTGGTTGAAAATTGAAGATGCAGACTTTGGGGCTCTTAAAAACGCTTCTCACTGCAAATTAGAAGTTCAGGTTACAAAACCAAATCTGATTACTCCCATCAGCGATTCTGATAATCTCGAAGCGCCACCATTGACTCTGATGAGCATTGCGATGCGCACTGTTTTCAATGTCAAAGAAAATAAACAAGAAGTTCTCGC